ATAAACCCTAAACCCTAAACCCTAAATAGTAGTTTCCATTTTCTTTTCCATTATCCCCATAGAATCCCTACATAACCCCTTTAAAGGGACCCATATTCTATCTACTTAAGGGGGACTATACACCATAGCATGTGAAGCAGCATCCCTAGGCAGGCACTGAGCCAGTATGTGCGAAGACAGTCACCAGCTTACCACCACCGCCGCCGCACTGCTTCCCACGCCACCATGACTATTGTTAGGGTTTAGGGTTTAGGGTTTAGGGTTTAGTTATTACTGCTATTATCATTGTTATTACTGTTACTATTTCTACTATTATTACTATTATTACTATAATTACTATTATTACTACTATTATGACTGCCACCCCCCGCCTTGCCCTCACAACCTTCGCAGGGGCGAAGCTTCCGGGACCTGCTCCAAGATCCAGAGAAAGATTGAAAGGACTTGTTTAGGGTTGGTCAGGGCTAAGGGTTTAGGGTTTGGGGTTCAGCGTTGAAGGTTCAGGGTTTGAGGTGTAGGGGAGTTCTGCTGGAAATGGAGAAATAGAGACTGCATGGTCATCCAGAGAAGCATAGGGCCGGGTTTTCAGGTAATGCTAGGGAAGAAGGGGATATATTCCCCATGTAACCCCCATATGATATATTCCCATATTCAATTCCCTGCGAAGAACCACTAAGACTGAAAGCCCATTTGTGGTCTTCTGGCGTTGCTTTGTAGAGCCTGAGGCTTGAGGCTTGATGACCCTAGTTGAAGTCATTGATTCCAGTAACATCGCGCTACCCCCTGTCCTTCCCATAAGCCTGGGCTCCTATAGGGATTACTGGATGAAGTGGGAGCAAGCCCAGCATAGCCTGCTGTGAGAATTCTGCCTTTCTTTTCAGGGTTTTGTTTGCCGGATGAATACTATGGGGTGTCCAATGGACCTGTGACTGCTGCAGTAGCACTGATCCGCGTAACAGGAAGGGTCTAGCCCTAAGGGTCCAAGGACCAAAATGATAGGGTCTGAGGGCCAAAATACCATTGATATTATAGTATTCGGGGCCTGAAACCCCATTATTAGGGTCCTTGGACCCTTAGGGTAGGGAGTCGTGGACTAGGAGGGAAGAAAACTGACTTCAGCCATCAAGCTTTTCCCGACGGGTCGCCCACAAGCTTGAAGCCTAATCTTCGTACAAGGGTTTAGGGTTTAGAGTCATAGTGCAACCCTTAATTTATCTTGAAAGCCCTGACCCAAAACCTTAAGCCCGAAAGCCTGAAGCCCCAAGCCCTAAAACCAAAATCCCTAAACCCAAAACTTTACACCCTAACCCCCCCTAAACCCTAGAAACCCTAAAAACACTGAACAACATAAGCCCTGTAAACCCTAAACCCTAGAAACCCAAGAGCCTAAACCATGAGGATGCCAGCTGCCTCGCCACATTGCGAATCAACATCGTTTCCTGCGAGAAGAGCTGCCAAAAATGGGGCCAAGGATTTAGGGTTTGGGGTTTAGGGTTAAGGGTTTGGGGGGTAGTTTTTAGGGTTTGTGTTGAGGTTCTTAGGGTTCAGGGTTCGAGGTATATGGTTTGGGTATACTTGCTGGTGGCCAGTAGCCACTCAAGGATTGAGTTACAAAGACCAGTACCAGGAGATGAACTGGGGCTAAAGAAAGCAAGCTAGGGTGTGGGGCTAGGGTTTAGGGGTCTAGGGTTTTTCACAGGTTAAACCTGAATTCCCCCTAAGATACTGGACAAGCTGGAAGACGACAATTTCGCCCCAAGCCTAGTACCAAGCAGCAGACATTGGTATGCACGCACCTATGGCATCTTTTTGTAGTTTTCCTCGTCTTCCAGATCCTATCATGCTGGGGTGGCATGTAGCAACCCTCACCCCTGTTTTAAGTATCCTTGTACTTCGGGTAAGTTTAATTTCGACCCAGAAGTGCTCTCATCTTGTCTCATCAAGGACGACGGTCAATCTGCGGTCTTAAAGTGGCCGCCCAACAGAATCTGCCATAAACAAGCAATTGCACCAAACAGAGCAGGGTCGTTGTTTTGATGTAGGTGTTTCTCAAAATCATCCTGATGTTACCCTGAGAAGAAGGACGCTTGTTACGCGCCCTTTCTGGGAGGGTGTCCTCCTAGCAGTCCCAGCATGGGAGCCGCTGCGCTTCATGGGGAGCTGGACTGTTGCGCCACTCAGGGTGGCGATGAGACAGAGGAAGGGGCGACTCTCAGAACGGTTCCTTCGATGATCGGCCTTGCGGATGCTGAGGAGCCCATGTGCACATTCGATTGCGACGTGGACACCATGGACTGGGAGCCAACGAAAGCGGCTCCGGACACCCTCGGGGGAGAACTGCACGGGGCACAGTTTTCTGCGGAATCTGGGTGCTGATAAGGAGTTTACACTAAATGAGGGATGATAAAAAAACCCCTTAATCAGGTTTAAGAGGGAGCCTGTCCTTGATTCAAAACCTTGTAAAACGATAAG